ACCCAACACTTTCCCAAAAGTTGTTCTCATCCCGGTTGGAGTGGACTGCAGCTTCGACCTCGCATCGGTCTCATCAACACCACCAGCGGGATTCAAACCGTGACAGTGCAGAATGTGAGCTCGACACGTCAACCGCTCGGCCACATTGTCACGAGTGTCCTTGGGCGACGAGGCAGATGTCAATTTCCCATATTCCATTCAATGGTGGGATTGTCGATGAATCAAAAATACTTTTGCTTCATCGACAAAACCAGCAGCGGAGGCTTAAAAGTAATTAGGACGGCAAAAGTAACGTCTGTTCTTGGTCATCAAAGTTTGATGACCACAATCTCTCACTTTCTAAATTTTTCCACAACACCTGGTTATGTTAATGAGCCATTTTTTAAATTTTTGTTCTTAAGTTTTTACCAAAATCGAAGATTTCCTCGGAAACAGCATCGGCATGAATGTTTCTGTAAAGCCAATCGACAGCCGGTCAAGAGGAATCGGCCGTCGTCTTCTGGTGGAACCGACCTTCGAATCTCTTCACCCAACACTTTCACTCGAAATGGAGTAAGCTCAACAATTATCAAAAAAGAGACTCCTCGAAACACAACTTTTCTTCGCATGTTGTTAAACCACCAAACTGATTAATTGGTTGCCTATTTATATGAGTAATTTAGTTGACTGACTGACTATCTGATTAGATGAATGCCCGAAAAAATGTTGGAATAGCATGAATTATGATTGATGTATTCACACCTTTTCGTGTAATGTGATGAAAGAGGGGCAGTTGAATTTTTCCACAATCATATAAATCGTACTCATCTTTATACAGAATTGCATATTCTCTTGCTTCCCATCCACGGTTGAGTTCAGTTTTGGCTTCATCTTGATCTCACCAAGCCCCCAGCGGGACTCGAACCAGGATTTTGATAGTACAGTATGCATTCTCGACACGTTATCCACTACACCAGACTACGCAGGAAAGATGTGAATTTCTAAGAAGGCCATGCTTTTTCACATTTCCCATCACATTCTGTGGTGAGACTGTCGATGTTATAATTATGTTTTTGAGACTACCAGTAGATCATAACTATGAGTTGTTTAAGGTAATACAAAGACCTTTAGTCGAATTTTCTCACAATCATATGCGTAGACTGTATGTTTCCATCGTACTTCACAATCGAACTCGGCTGGGCGTGCAAATGAGACCAGTTCAGGCAATGTCACACCCACAATCCACCCTTTGGGAAGCATTGTTATGAGAAATTTAATAAAAACGTCAACTCTACTCACAAGATTGCATGAATGAATGTTTCTCTGGCATAGTTGTATGAATGCTCGTCAGTCTGGCCGATAGACTGACTGTAAGAGCGATTTATTTCCTGCCTGACTGAGTCATTGATTAGTTGACTGAATGGTGGAGTCTGATTGAAGTGATTATTGTGCTGCAACAGATTGGATGACTACCTAATTGGATAATTGTCTGATTGCTTGGGCAATTAAATTCCCATCTGGTCAGAGGGACAGACAGACCTAATGACATAATAATATTCAGGCCTGACAGATTTAATGAATGACTGTCTGAGATAATTGACTGAGATGGCAGTAGGGATCTGGCACCAGCTGCAAAACATACAAGTTCTGTGAGCAACCACACCGATTGATTCTTACAAGCATTTTGCCCTACATTCGGTCCAGGGCCTGGCCGCTGGACAATACGAAGAAGCGACAAAAGTGGTGAATTGTCAAGCCTGGTTTACTTGGGCCCGACGACATGAGTTCGAAGAAGACTATGGCAATGCTGCTCTCTCGAGTGTGTAAAGGAGCGTAAACCGGAAGGAGGCAGTGAGGCGAAAAGAAAACAGGTAGAAGCAATCGGTCTTTCGGCCATTGTGTGCAAATTATATAGTCGGATGTGAATGCGCAATCGGATAAGTGGATAAAAAGGGGCTTATATGTCGGCGTTTAAGTGAAGCTTTTTTCCGCCTCAACCGATCCAATGGCAGATTAATAAAGACGTCCAGCCCAACGATCAGAATGCCCAAGTGAAGAGTGTTGTTGCTAAGCGATACCCGAGTGTGTGGCAAATAAAGAGCTGGCTCCACACCAGTCCATTGAGCAACTTGGAAAGATAACCAAATGATAATGTACAGGAGGAGAGGTAAGAAGTTGAAATGCTAAACGTAATCAAAGGAAAGGAGGCAAAAAAAGGAGAAGACCCGCAAGACTGACGACCGGCATGGCGGAGAGACAGCAACATGAGCTAAACGTGTCTCTAGCCCACGCATTGCAAGGACCTCCATCGAGCCCCTTTATGGTACAACTATTCTGGACACCATTCAGGCCATCAAGTGAAACCCAATCCGACAATTCAATTGGTCTCCTCTTCAAGACACAATCATGCCAATCGACTTTGCTCTCCGTCCGACCGCAAGGCCTAAAGTCGCCAAGGAGGGAGGGGGTGCAAAAAACCAGGCAAACGGCACAAGAATCGGTATATTGTCGAGTGGGCAGGACTTTTCGTGCATTCTGGCGTACACTAGCAACAAGTAGGATGGGGCCAATGCAAAGAACGAGATGTCGTGCTCGGCTGAGAGGGGGGGTATGGCAACATGCGTGAACGGAAATTGAACGATTCGGCCAACGGAAGGAGAAAGCAATTTCGAAGCAAGACGTCTGCTGCAGCGGAAAAGAGCGGAAACGCGCCCAGCTGCGTCGGCCAAAGTTCGAACCAGCCTCGGTGACAAGTTCACAGCAAAGCATCGAAGGGTTTGCATCCAATCAGACGC